ACGGGTGTTCACAGAGACAGAACAGCGAATAAATCCAAACGCAAATACAAGCCCTGTCTGTTGACAGCTAGGGCCCCAAAATGGGCTCCCATCGATCTGTTGCTTTATTTGTTTGTGCTCTGTCTCTTTCCTGTTCCCTTTCTCTCCCTCTGTGTATGTGTGTGTGTGTGGTTCTCTCTCTCGCTCTCTCTCGCTCTCTCGCTCTACCTCTCGCTCTCTCTGGATGTTAGATCCTCACACAAGAGAGGGATAGCGCTATCTTCCTTACAGTAGTGGTGTGATGGTGATGGGTGAGAGTGTCAGGGTGGTGAGAGATAGCTGAGAATTAGAGCAGGGACTCAGGGAGCAGCAGATGCTGTTTCACCACCAGACTAGTGTGAAGGGATGACCCATTTCCTGTGACTTCAGATAAGAACTGGACCAGAGATAATCTATATAATAACGAAATGGTCTTGTCTCTGCCTTAACAATGGGAGTCGTTGTCGTAAAGGCGGAAAGGCAGGTGGGTGGAGGTGAGATCAGATGGGAACATTCTAGCACTAGACTAGCACATTGTTAGGGCAGATATGCATGTGAACAACAGACAACTCCGATATAAAATATTTTTTCTCAAAGTTTGTACAAAACAAACAATAACAACACCTGCTCTTTCCATGACATAGACTGACCAGGTGAATCCAGGTGAAAGCTATGATCCCTTACTGATGTCACTTGTTAACACTTCAAATCAGTGTAGATAAAGAGGAGGAGACAGGTTAAAGAAAGATTTTTAAGCCTTGAGACAATTGAGACATGGATTGTGTATGTGTGCCACTCAGAAGGTGAATGGGCAAGACAAAAGATTGAAGTGGCTTTGAACGGGGTATGTAGTAAGTGCCAGGTGCACCGGTTTGAGTGTGTCAAGAACTGCAACACTGCTGGGTTTTTCACGCTCAACAGTTTCCTGTGTGTATCAAGAGTGGTCCACCACTTTTGATTTGATCCCTTAACATTTGATCCCTTAACATTTGATTTCTTTCTCAGGGTTTTTTCTGTATTTTAACTAGGTGAGTTAGAGAGATCATCAACTTCTGTTTAAAGCTGGAATCCTTAATGTGAAACTGCCACGTCCATTTGCGATATTACAACAACAAAGAAGTTACTGCAAACACTGTTTTTTCCCACTGACATCATTGCACGCGTGATAGAAGGGCAGCATATGTAATGCAACTTTTTTTTACCATGATGCATGACGCTTCCCAGCTCTGCTTTTTTAACGAAACAAAAACAATAACAACGGCCGCGGGGCGGGGCGGACAGTGGCACCGTTTCCCCTACTGCTGATTCCATCTTTAAGGGAATAATAGTACTTCCACTTCTGTGTACTGGTTCTTGAGATCCAGGTAATGTGATCATGGGGGGGTCATCAAGAAGACATCTGAATTTCCATTACAAAAAAATCTAAGTAACCAAAGTTTGACTGTCAATATTTGTCTTTCACAGGATATAGGAAGCTCTGACGTAGCTAGTCACTGCACTGCTTTACCTAAAGCACTGTCTTTCTCCATAGATAGCCAACCCCATTAGCTCTAATGTACTGTAAATGATGAACTCTCTCTTCCACTCTGTGGTAACACGTACACTAGAGAATGTCTAACGCTGCAGCAGCGTTCATGTGACAGTCGCTGTGCCTGTGGCCTACTTAGCTAGCCGTAGCATTCTGCACTTCCCCTCTAACTCTCACTCTGGGTTGGCTGAGGCTCCATGCTTTCTCGCTCTTTCTCTTTTGACGGCTGCTCCACTTCCTCATGGCAGGCCAGGGTCCGGGATAGGTTCCGGAATGAGAATGTCTTGTTCTCCCTGGCTGGACGGAATCAAAGCAAATGGCAGTTGCCAAGTACAGCTCATGTAACTGCTGTGTGAAAATGCATCCGCTCCCCACCCAACCCACCCCTCTGCCTGGTCAGCTTGACAACCAACCCTCTCACTCATTCGCTCGCTCTTTCTTTCACCTCTCTTTATTCATCTCTCGGTCTCTTTCTCCCTCTCTCACATTCTCTCTCTCCCCTCAGTCTCTCATCCAAATTCCAGTATGCTAAATTGGTGGGCCCACAAATTTAGACAGCCTTGCCAGAGTTGTTTTATAGTTTTCACATAACATTTACCCGCTGACAAAGACCCTAATGCAACCGCAGTTATTGTCAGAATGATAAATAACTGATACGGAAATTAAAAAAGGTTGAAAACCTTTGTTACGTAAGGGAGATCTATACAGGCAATTTGTAGACATCTCATTTTTAATTAAATAAAAGGGGTGGGCAGGAGTTTTCTCCTCGTTTGCCAGTACCCTACTGAGGCTTCATTTCACACCCTCCCCAGGCCAGCCCTGTGCCAACTCCGCCAGCCCAGACACACGGACACGGCATACCCATCCACCAGACTCCTCTGTTCTGGAATCAACCTGCTCTAGACTAGAGCCAGCAGATCACCTCTGGGCTAAAACCCTTCCATTCCAGAACAGTCTAGATTAGAAGTGTTCTAGAGCAGCTGACTTAGCACTGTGTTTGAGCTGTTGTAGCTCTGGCAACAGTAGAGGTTTGCTGAGAGTAGGAACAGGGAGTGCTCTGGATAAACAAATGCCATGCCATGTTAGGGTTAACATCTTGTTATCAAACGCATACACACGCACAGACACACACTAAACAGACACACACTAAACTTGGCTACGTCTGTTTCTTGTGAGCAGAGGCAAATGATGGAGCATTTCAGGACTGCTGCGCGTACAGCCAGTTTCTTTCTCCATCTGTCTCCCTCCGTTTCTCTGCAGCAGTGTAGCCTAATGTCTGCAACTCTTGTTCTTCTGCTGCTTCCTGCGTCACTTCCCCTCCTAGTCCACTATGAGATGTAAGCACAAGTGCACCCATGCTCGTTTGCATGAGCACACACACACACACACACATACACATAGTCGCACACACACACGTCACAAGGGAGTTGTTAATCATAACCACAAGCACCAAGCGGAAATAAAACTTGAACAGCTGGGTTAAAAACCAGCTGTCTCCCACTCACAAGCACACAGACACATACAGAGACAAATGTATAACTAGAAACACACACCAACACTCTGAGTACAACACACCTGCCTGAGGAAATGCAATAATTCAACACATCCCACACACAGTGAAACCACCAACCTCTGTGATCTCTGTACTCAAATCAGTCTGCAATCCAAGTATTTTTCAAGTAACATTTGCATTTTCTGAGCTACTGTTGACTCACCAGTAGTGACGGCTTATGGAGAGCGGGAGGAAGAGAGGGATGGAGAAAGGGAGGGAGGGTAAAGAGGACAGGAATAAAATTGCAGTCTGCTGCAAATTACACAGACACAGGAGCTGTCTGCGTGCTTCAACTTTATAGACAGCCGTGGTTTTGATAGAAAACACAACATATAATTAGATTAAATGGTCTGTTTGTTGTAATAGACAAGAACAGACCCATTTGGTCTGTAACAGGGAGACCGTCAACACTGGACTTCATACATGGCCTGTGACGCGGACTGTGATGTCTGTTTCAGCATGGACGTACACCAGACACACACACACACACTCACACACACACTCACCCCAAAACACCCACAAACACCCACAAACACTTCAGTACTTGAGTGACACTCTAGCCATTTTAAACATGTCACTAATCTCACTGTTTCCTCTGTAGTGATGTGCAGCGCATAGCTTTGCTAAGTCATGCACCCTCCAGAGGAAACAACTGCTTATATCCCTGAACCTCTCCTTTGAAAAGGGTGTTAGAATATCCCCACTAATAAGAACTATAGTAACCTGAGTAATGTTGACACACTCTCAATCTCACTCAACGCTTAGGAATGTCAATCCTGCTCAAACTCAAACACGCTTCATTCACATTTCTTCTGCTTGTTGTTGACCACTGTTTATTTGGGGTATTTTATTAGGATTCCCATTAGCTGTTGCGATAGCAGCAAATACTCTTCCTGGGGTCCATACAAAACATGAAACCTGACATAATACAGAACATTAATAGACAAGAACAGCTCAAGGACAGAACTACATAAATGTAAACATCACACATAGCCTACATATCAGTACATCAGTGGAGGCTGCTGAGGGGAGGATGGCTCATAATAACGGCTGGAATGGGACAGTACAGTACAGTACAGAAACATAATAATAATATAATAATAATATGCCATTTAGCAGACGCTTTTATCCAAAGCGACTTAGTCATGTGTGCATAAATTTTTACGTATGGTCCCGGTGATCGAACCCACTACCCTGGCGTTACAAGTGCCATGCTCTACCAATTGAGCTACAGAGGATCACTTACATAAGCAATAAGATGTTATGAATGAACACTCACTATTCCACTTCTCCACTTTCTATTAACTAGGCCCTTGTAATATAATTTCAAAACATTTTTATAACATATTGCATAGCAAACCATAATCAAAAGATGAATCATAGTGACTTGCCAAATCCACATCTATATAAAAACCTAGATGGAAATCTAGATAAGACCAACATATAATACAGCCAATTCATAGAAAAAAGGAAAAGGAGAATTAGTAACCCTAACCTATAGCACATGTATTGATGAATACCTTTAAGAAACAATGAATACCTATAAGAAAAAGTCATCTGTCAAATTCGTTAACAATTTATTAAAAGGACACCAACATAAGAGCTTCATAACCCACATACAACACAATCATAAGCAGTAGCAAGTTGATATTCCCTTTGTGTCACAGAAATGTGCACTTATACTGCAGATTTCAACTTGCCGTTGTTGACATCAGCATTTACGAAACGCTCATGTGCTCATGAATGCATTAAGTATAGGTTATAAATAACTTATTTTTTTTAGGTACCCTTCGAATAAAGGGATACCTCAAATTGTTTCTCACTGCAAATACACAGGAGCACCTGGTTGTGTGTGCTGCCTGACATGACCACTGGGAGATGATATAGGCGTGGTGGGGTCATTTAGAAGTGGTAGGGGGTGTGGATGACCCAGTTGGATATCTGGTCTTTGGTGCGCTTGGCTGAACTGTGGCTGGTGAAGAGAGATTTGTAGGTCTCCGACTTCTCTTCCATGGTCTGGATGGACCTCTTGCTCCCGGATGCCTCCAAGGGTTTGACCACCTTGGAGGAGCTGGACGAACCAGAGGGCCCAGGGACTGCTGGCTGGCTGCCGTCTTCACCATTTTCTGTTTAAGTTTTTCCCTCCGCAAAAACGGTTTCAGTGGAGTCTGGATTTTCTTTTGACTCTGACGGCTTGGAAATAAATATCTATAAAATATCTATGTCAAATAGCGGAGAGGCGTGTGGTGAGGTGTTGCTTTATCTGTGTTTTTAAACCAGGTTTGCTGTTCACTTGAGCAATCTGAGATGGAAGGGAGTTCCATGCAATCATGGCTCTATATAATACTGTACGTTTTCTTGAATTTGTTCTGGATTTGTGGACTGTGAAAAGACCCCTGGTGGCATGTCTGGTAGGGTAAGTGTGTGTGTCAGTTCTGTGTGTATGTTGACTATACAAACAATTTGGAATTTTTAACACATTAATGTTTCTTATAAAAACAAGAAGGAATGCAGTCAGTATCTATTCTACTTTTAGCCAAGAGATTGGCATACATAGTATTGATATTAGCCCTCTGATTACAGTAAAGAGCAAGACGTGCTGCTCTGTTCTGGGCCAGCTGCAGTTTTTCTAGGTCCTTCTTTGCTGCACCTGACCATATGACTGTGCAATAATCAAGATAAGATAAAACTAGAGCCTGCAGGCCTTGCTTTGTGGAGTGTGGTGTCAAAAAAGCAGAGCATCTCTTTATCAATTACAGACCTCTCCCCATCTTCACAACTATTGAATCAATATGTTTTGACCATGACAGTTTACAATCCAAGGTGACACCAAGTTATTTAGTCTCTTCAACTTGCTCAATAGCTACATTATTCATTATATGATTGAGCAGAGGTCTAGAATTTAGGACTATTTAGCACTTTGTTGACAAGGATATGAAGAACAAAAACAAAATCCTTCAGAATTAATTAAATGCAGAAGGCATATTTTCTTATACTGTACAGAGGGATGTCAGCCTGCTCTGCTGCGACAGGAGGAGAATTCATTCCACCTGTGTTTGGGCTCTTAGGCTAGTTTTTGTGCATAAATGGAATGCAATGCAGAGGTAAACGCCTGGTTGTTGGTTACCTTGTCAGATTTAAAGGGATGAGATGGATAGAGTTCGACTGGACTGATGTGCTCTTTTCTTATACACACTCAAAAACACTGATCAGATGTAGTAGGCTTAGGCAATATTACAATCTATCAATTGGCAGTCGGTCTGTCTAGGTCTTGTCCCAGTTGGATGAACGTTCAAAACGATTTTTCCCGGTCAGAGCGCGTTTTTTTCGAGCTCCCAGTTATCATGAACGCACTGAAGTCGGAGAATTCCGAGTTCCCACCTGTTTTGAACGCGCATTTGTCCCTGACACTATTCCGACATACTGTACATGGCAGTGACGTCGCATGTTATTCCCACATTTCCCTAACATCCCGTCCCCGTCCGACAGAGGGAATGTAGAACATGTTGATAAAGGATTTGGCCCCACCTGTAGTCCTACAGGGGATATAGGATGTATCAAAGGCGGCGGTCTTAAAGCCTTGTCCTACAGCTACGCAGTTTCCGATTTGACAGTAGAAAGTTCTCCATGCATCGGACATATAAAGGCTACCCCAAGCACAATGCTATAGCCTAGTATTTGGTTAATTCTATAACTTTACAATTATTTTACAGAAATAAACTTTTACCAGGTTATGAATGATTTTGCTACCCAATATTTTACATCACAATAGGCTATAATTCATAAAGATTTTACATTTACATTTACGTCATTTAGTAGACGCTCTTATCCAGAGCGACTTACAGTTAGTGAGTGCATACATTTTTTTTTTCATAGATGAGGATAGAAAGTAGTTATGTTTATGTTGAGTAATGATGACGATTGGAGAGATCTGAACATCGCAAGTTATGAAAGTGCGTCCTCATAAAAATGCTGTCCTCTCGACTCTTAGTGCAAGCTCCAAATAACCTGTCTCGAAAACGCAAAATCAGACTATAGTGGCAACTTCAATTTTAGTTTAAACAAAACATTTTCTTGCTCGTATTTTCTAGCCTTGGATCAGACAGCAGTCTGTGTGTTGTTGCGGTGCCATCCTTCAAGATATGGGTGAGGTGGGCGACCTATACGCATTATTTTAAAACCACATACATTCAATAGGCTATCAAATATGTGTGGAAAGCAAAGACCCAGTTGTTGAGCTTACTTCAACTTCAATCTGCGCAACACAAACTGGATTGCGGACATTGGCAAAGCTATAGAGAGCAAAAGCCATCTGGCAGAAAATAAAAAATCTGCTCAGCCACAGGAGCAGGGGCGAATTTTCTTATCACGCACTTACAGAAAACACAGAACACAATACGATTCCTCCGCTGTATCAACACCAGAAAGCCAAAATAAAGCGCGGAAAGCACCTGCAGAAACAAGCAGAAATGACAGCTGAGCAGAGCATAGAGAAACAATGCCTCTTCCCAGTTGCGTATCAACCATTTGGGACGTTATATAAATACGTTCACTCACGTGAGATGCGCACCGATTCCACTCCCAGGTAGATGGATGGAATAAACACGCACTTTCAAGGGATCTTCCCCTTCAAAAAGTGCTTAATAGCTGCAGGTGCAATCGCGAATCGACTGACATGTCCCGGCCGATGGGGACGTTTTCTGGGCCGTCCCGGACTTGGTCCCCAGTTGCTCCGAGGCTATTGCGCGGGTAGCGTGTTTACCGATGCGTGCATAGATTCTTTTTTTAAAATCAGCTCAGGGTACACTCCGTCTCTGTTTTCCTGCTATTTCATTATATCATGTCCATCATGTGACATGGCCAAGCCTTTCAATGGAAACTTAAAGGGACCTCCCACGTGATCCAGTCCATGCGCAGTCACTGTGGGCAGGGGGAAGTCCACTGTGCTCCGTAAACAGCAATCAAAAAATAAAGACTACAGCGTCCAAGTTCTGGCCCATATAATATAAGCTAGCCTACATCATTTTATAAGTCTCCAAAAGATTCACATAGTGAGTTATTTCCCGCATATATGAGCTCATGTGTAGGCTATAACATCAACATTACCATGACTCAGGAATGAGAAGAGCAGGTGCATTTATTGCCATTATAGGACCCGTGCAGTGTCTAGTGACCTCATGGTCCATAGGCCTATAGGTTAATTTATGTTTTATCATGATAAACATGAAGCCTAAGGTAAATGTAGCCTATAATTTTACCAAAGTTCGAATACTTAACTGAGTAAGTGAAAAATGTAATACAATAGTTTACAAAAGGAGTCATAATTTCATATAGCCTACTTCTCAACGTCACTCAATAATCCCTTGTCCGCTGTGCTTTGGACAAAAAAGTCACCAATAAAAAGTGCCTCTCCACTCCATTAAGGTAAATTAAGAGGTTCCTGTGCCAAGTGCTGCTCATGCACTTACAAGAAATGACAATTGTTGTGCATTTCTTACATCAAGAAGCTTCCTGGCAGTCCACTTGGAGATGATTCACCGGTGGCAAATTGCATTTCACACGGAGATGGTCCTTTCGAAAAATGGGATGATCAAAGCCTGGTTGACGCTCAGAAAGTCTGGGCTATTATTGTTATCATTAATTTATATACAATTATATTAGGCTTTATTTAGTATAAGATTATTGTTATTGCAATAATATAATATCCTAATAGTAAACCAAATAAAAATCAAATCAAAGTTTATTGGTCGCATACACAGTTATGCAGATGTTATAGCGTGTGCAGCAAAATGCCAAACAACTACACAAATAATCAAAAACTAGAAACAAAAATCCAAGATCGAATCAGTACAGTCATTGCCCTATAGGTTGGACAGTCACAGAGAGAGAGAGAGAGAGAGAGAGAGAGAGAGAGAGATTTGAAATGTCTTTATTCTTTTGGAACTTCTGAGTGTAATGTTTACTGTTAATTTGTATTGTTTATTTCACTTTTGTTTACTATCTGCTTCACTTGCTTTGGCTTTGGCAATGTTAACATATGTTTCCCATGCCAATAATGCCCTTAAATTGAAAATGGAATTGAATTGAGAGAGAGAGAGCGAGCGAGAGAGAAGGTGGGGGGGCTCAGTTATTGTCTCATACTGACTGGAAAGGGTGATGAGGATTCATGCGCCCTGTGACATACAGGCTGGGGACTGAGATCATTAAGGAAGATGACATAAGAAGGAAGCAGTGACTCTGTTATCCTGTGATATCCTCATCATCGGGAGTTTGGTAGGAAACACATTGGGAGCTAAAAGATATGGGCCTATGTTAAAAATGAATATGGAAAAACAAACACAGGAGGAAACATCAGTCCTGCTTGTGTGAGGTAATACCGGTTGCATATCTTTGAAAGATACAGTATTTCAAACATATTCTACATCAAATAAAATAAAATTGTATTTGTCACATGCGCCGAATACAACAGGTGTAGACCTTACAGTGAAATGCTTACTTACAAGCCCTTAACCAACAATGCAGTTTTAAGAAAGAATACCAAAAAAAATCACACAAAAAAAACAATATAAAATAATACGAAATAAAAGTAAAAAATAATTAAAGAGCAGCAGTAAAAATAACAATAGAGAGCCTATTTACAGGGGGTACCTGTACCGAGTCAATGTGCAGGGGCACCGGTTAGTCGAGGTAATTGAGGTAATATGTACATGTAGGTAGAGTTATTAAAGTGACTATGCATAGATAACAAACAGAGAGTAGCAGCAGCGTAAAAGGGGGGGGGGGGCAATGCAAGTCTGGGTAGCCATTTGATTAGATCTTCAGGAGTCTTATGGCTTGGGGGTAGAAGCTGTTTAGAAGCCTCTTGGACCTAGACTTGGCGCTCCGGTACCTCTTGCCGTGCGGTAGCAGAGAGAACAGTCTATGATTAGGGTGGCTGGAGTCTTTGACAATTTTTAGGGCCTTCCTCTGACTCCGCCTGGTATAGAGGTCCTGCATGGCAGGAAGCTTGGCCCCAGTGATGTACTGGGCCGTACGCACTACCCTCTGTAGTGCCTTGCGGTTGGAGGCCGAGCAGTTGCCATACCAGGCAGTGATGCAACCAGTCAGGATGCTCTCGATGGTGCAGCTGTAGAATCCTTTGAGGATCCGAGGACTCATGCCAAATCTTTTCAGTCTCCTTAGGGGGAATACGTTTTGTTGTCCCCTCTTCACGACTGTCTTGGTGTGCTTGGACCATGTTAGTTTGTTAGTGATGTGGACACCAAGGAACTTGAAGCTCTCAACCTGCTCCACTACAGAATGGGGGCGTGCTCGGTCCTCTTCTTTTTCCTGTAGCCCACAATCATCTCCTTTGTCTTGATCACGTTGAGGGAGAGGTTGATGACCTGGCACCACACGGCCAGGTCTCTGACCTTCTCCCTATAGGCTGTCTCATCGTTGTCGGTGATCAAGCCTACCATCAGGCCTACCATCAGCAAACGTAATGATGGTGTTGCAGTCGTGCCTGGCCATGCAGTCATGAGTGAACATGGAGTACAGGAGGGGACTGAGCACGCACCCCTGAGGGGCCCCCGTGTTGAGGATCAGCGTGGTGGATGTGTTGTTACCTACCCTTACCACCTGGGAGCGGCCCGTCAGGAAGTCCAGCATCCAGTTGCAGAGGGAGGTGTTTAGTCCCAGGGTCCTTAGCTTAGTGATGCTGTTCAGTGTCTCAACGTGCAACAAATATGAGCCAATATTCAAGCCTATACTGAATAGCTTCTAAAAGTTTATAAACTATGTTATTTCTGGAGGTAAAATAGGTGTCAGAAGAAACCTATTGCGATGATAACACACGCACGCACCAACATATTCACACACACACACTCACACACACACACTAAGCCAAATGCATAACTAATGGCAGCAGTCTGGTTGAAATAACTTGGGGCAAGTGTTCCATACACATTTTCAGGGTCACTCATCAATATCATGTCCTCATAAATATTTGGAACAGTGTCCATCTTCTCCACGGTTTTGTCTATTATTGAACTTGACCGATGTAACCCTTAAAGTGTACTGTCTCTTTAAGAGCTGTCACTCGAGTCATTTTCTGCAACAAGATGGCGGTCGTTCCAGAGAACAGAGTCCTCTCTTTCAGTGTTTTTAAATGGAGCTCTTATTCCTCCACATATTTACCAGAGTGAGTAATGCACACATACGTTGACCACATTTATGTGTTTGTTTTCGTGGCTGCAGGTGTCATTAACTGCCACAGTGCATCGAAATCTCTCCACGGCCTAGCTTGACAGCGAGCTAACTACTCCACCTAACGTTAGGCAACGGGGATAACGTTAGCTAGTTAGATTTACTCGAGTAAACAAAATGCACACATAGCTAGCTAGCTAAATTGATTACTTGTTTGTACTGTCTTGCCATGCACTGTAAAGGCGATACTGGTAACTATCTAACAGCTGTACTAACGAGTTGGC